TTAGTAGTGAGTGTGTGTGTGTGCTCGAGTGTTAGAGTGATGCGTGTGGGATATCCAGGGTGATTCAGTGTATGTGAACAGTGAGATGTTTGGGCGCTGAAGTCGCCATAGCCAATTGAGAGTGAACTCGTATCTGAAAGCCATATCTCTGAGTTTTGAGTGGGCACATGTCGCCAGTATGCTGCATTGCTGTTCACATGCATGAAAAGTGTGTTTGAAAACGAGTCTGATTGCAGATCTGAATATTGTGTTCAATTATTCAATATATATTCCAGGGCTGCACGGAGATCACTTTGCACCATACATGCAAGCGCACGTCGTGCGGGCGGTCCCCTACGTGCGGCGCACGCGCCCAACCGATCCCGTCCAACGCACGAGTGTGCGGAGAACGACCCGTCACCCCCCTCAGAAAAAAAAAAAGGCCGTGGTCGAAACGGTGCGTTTGAGGGCCCCCACCAAAATTATAAGCGAGATGAAAAAAAAATTTACAGGAGTACTGCCTCACCTTGCTCTTCCTCCCCTCCTCCTCCTGTTCATCCTCCATGTCTCCTCCTCCCTTCTCCTTTTCGTCTCCTCCTCCTCCTCCTCCTCCTCCTCCTCCTCCTCCTGTTCATCCACCTCCTCCTGCCCTCCCTCATCCTCCTTGTCTCCTCCTCATCTTCCATGCCTCCTCGTCTCCTTCCCTTCATCGTGTCCTCCCTTTCCTCGTGTCCTCCCCTTCCTCGCCGTCCATGTCTCCTCCTCCTCCCACTCGTCCTCCTCCTCCTGCCCTTCCTCTTTTCCCTCCGTCCATCTCTTCTCCTCCCCCATCTCGACTCCTCCTCGTCGTCCTCGCTATCCTCGTCGTCCTCCTCGTGCACATCCTCCTCCTCCTCTCCATATCCCCCTCTCCTTGCCATATCCCCATCTTCCTGTCATACGCCCCTGTTCCCCCTCCCACAAAAAGATAAAATAATAAAAATTAAAATAAAAAAAACTGCACGATTCCGCACAGGCACCCCCTGCACGGAACTCCGTACGGAACTCCGCACGGATGTGCGGCTCGTGCGGTTGCAAGTATGCTTTGCACTGTTTGCAGTCCATCAAGAACGTGTGCTTCATTCCAATAGAGAGTAAGGTTGGTGATTTCCGGCAAAGCGTTGGTGCCCATAGGAATGCCTACAACCTGATTGTGGAGAGTGCCATCCACAGCTTACAGGTAGGTGTAAGAGACCACATATTGCAGATGCCGTTCCATATGTAATACTGAGAGATTGTCAGAGCCATCAAAGTGTGAGCACACACACACACACACACACACACACACACACACACACACACACACACACAGAGAGAGAGAGAGAGAGAGAGAGAGAGAGAGAGAGAGAGAGAGAGAGAGAGAGAGTACATAGACAAACATATGGTTACTTTGGTCTCTTTGGAGGCGTACAGTAGTGGTGATAAAACACACCTTTTCCAGAGTGGCTGCTGGTACCATGCGTGGATGAAGGCATTGGTGCTTATGTCCCGCAAAAGCTTAGCCTTTTTTCTGTCCTGTGCAAGCCGCTGTGCACGGTCATGTTCACTTGATATGCCAGGGCTTCCTGAGACAATTGCAGCACCATGTACCTAATCATACATTGATTTATTATACAGAGATCAAGGTTCACGGAAGTCAGAACCGGCAGCTGCACCGATGGTGAACAAGAGGAGCAAGTTCAGGACTCAAGTGAGTATGGCCTTTCTGTCCACATGGGTGGCTCACTGTTTCAACCAGGGCCATACAATCAATGGGTGGGATAGTTCTTTCAAGGGAAACTTTTGACATTGTGCTCATGAATGCCATTGCCAGAAGCAGGGCATGGTTAACCGTCTCAACTACTCATCCTTTAAGTCCATCCCACATACTTAAAACTAACCGACATTTCGTTAAATCTGACTTTTTTTTTCACCTCACGAAATTATCGAAATTTTGAGGCACCGAAATAGGGATCTTTTCCAGATTTGCCTTCCTCGTGGGATGCATCAAATAGAAAATGTGTGCAGTTTAGGATATTGTGATGTCACACTGAGACCATATAAAGTGAGTATATGATACCCTGGGAGTATATAAAACGAGCATACAGCATCCCCACGATGGCCCCTGTCACTGGACAAGGGTACGGCATGCCCAAGATGCTTTTGGGGCTGAAGAGGCCATGCAGTGAGAAACATAAACATTCACCAGAACACTCTGAAAAATCCCATTCAAGGCCCAAATGTGTACAAAATTAAAACATCATTTTCGTGACATGAATTCTTATTTTTAAGATTTAATGAGATGTCCTAGGCTGGGCCGTCGCCCGGCCAGGCATGCCCGGGCCAGCTGGGTCGGGGGCGATCGCCCGGCAAAACTAGGCGGGTCAAAAAAGAGGGAAGGATCTCCAAAAAAAAGAAACTGACTTCAGGCCAGGACTGCGCTGTGCCTGAGCAGTCAGAATCCAGCCTTACCTTCCATTTCGGTGGTGGGTCACCCAGGAGTGTTTGGGGGTATAAAGTTACTCTAAACAGTGACTAGAGGGGTTTAAAAGGGTATATCTTACCTCATTTCTCCTCATTTATTTTTATCTTAAAATTAATAAGGAATTTCAAAGGGACCCTCAGCCAAAAGTTGCTTGTACTGCAATTTTATACAACATATGTTTTTCCCAGATTTTTTAGAAGTTTTTGATTTTTTTACTTTTTTTAATATTATGCGCTGGGGCTGCTAGGGACCCTGCCCGGCCACTGCCTGGCCCGGGCCGCCCGGGAGGGTACCCAGGCGACATTACCTCAGCCAGACCGCCTGGGGACCAGCCTAGGAGATGTCATCTTTTTTTTTCAATAAATAAAATAGGTCCTTGTGGCCCTGGCTCCATATCCATTCTGGGGAGCATCAGTCCGGTCCCTATTCCACTGGCAAGTCAGAAATACAACAAGAACAACCCCACACTTCCTTCTGTTTGGCCGAAGAACCACTGATCAGCGTTGATTGCTCCAGTTGACTGTCAGATTAGCTTCCCTCTACCTTTCCTCTCAGGTTTGCCTACACAAACCTACCAAATTTAACGTGGAACCAAGAAACGATTTGGAGGTGGGGAGCCAAAATCCCTGAACTTGTTGGGGAAGTCCCACTGGACTCTGATCTTGTCGGTTGTTGACTGCTTCTTTGCCACTCTTCCTCTCTGCCATGCCGTCGAGCTTCTGAGGGCTGTATTGGGTTCTGCCGTTCTGCTGATTGGGACCTCTGCTTTCTAAGCCCCGCTTCTGAATTGTCTCCGTCCTTCCACCATATACAGGAGCCCTCTATGTCCGCTACCTTGCCTCCGACCAGCCATACCCTTGTAAATTTAGCTTTGATTTTCTGCTGCAGCCTGCAGGTCCAAATTGTCCGGCATAGAATGCTTTGTTTTCTGCCACTTGCATAGAATCTCAGCCTGAAGCAACGACCTTGCAGCCGCCCAAATGCTCTCTCTTGGGGTGGAGAGGCCTTCAAGAGTTCAAGAGTTCAGCAGCACCTTTCCTTCCATAGAGACCAGAGTGTTGCTTTTCGGATCATACCGAACCAGATCCTCTCTGTCTTCCGGAAGTGGGCAGAGATGTTAGTCCATAGGAGGAGTTGGCTGGGGTGTTTGGGGAAGGTGGTAAAGAAAAGGGAGTCCCAAAGGTTGGACGCCCCAGCCCAGTACTCCGCCGCCTCTCTACAACGTACTAAGCAGTGTATCATGCCTTCTGGTTCATTGCCCGAGCGTACCACACGAGTCTGAGCTGCGCTGCTAGGATCGGTCTTCCTTCTTCTGATATGCAACCATCGGTTGACTGGTAGAGCCGCATAGGAGATGAGCCATTGAAGGCTTCTGATTTTAACAGGCCGGATTGTTTTGAATTTTTTCCATGGTATTTGTGATGCAAGGAATATGAATGGGAACAATATACAGAAAACCGAGTTGCGAAATCACGCAGATGTCCAAATAGTCGTGTACACGTAGAGAACAGAAATGCACCAAGATTCCAACCAAATAAGAGCAATACAATGAAGTAATGAGCCAATGTTCAAGCCCTCAGGCCACACCAACACAGTTTCCAAAGTCACTCCTCTCTGCCTGGAGCCCAGCGCCCAGCCTACACTACTCAACTATCCTACCTACATCAGCATTCTCGCAAGAGGCTCACTTCGACTCTCAAAGACCAATGTACATGACGTCAACACCATAGCCGACCTCTCTCATGTACCAGGTACGTATCTCGTCTCCCCTCATCAGACCCTGTCCACCCACACTCGCCTCCTTCCTGAAGACCACCGAGCGCCCTCTTAACCCCTAGCGCCGTGCAGCCCGGCTATGGCTGCTAGCGCTCCGCTGCCCAGCAACGCCCCTCTCACCTCTCATGCGCCCTTCTAGTGCCCTGGCAGGAACGCAGCACGCAGCCTCTAACGCAGCAGCGCAGCAGCGTGACCGCATTGCCTGTGTGGGCCAGAATACCTCCCCCTGGCTGCCCTCCTTTCTATATGGAAGTGGCAGCCCCTGCTTGGCTGCGTGTGGCCTTGCTGGGAAGCTTCCAGTAGCTTCCGGTCGGGCCCCAGTACTTGCACCCAGGCCCAATGCTACAGTTGAGGGCCTGGGCCCTTTTACAGTTGGGCACGGCCTGAGTCTTCAGACTTGGGATGTTTGCTGCATTTGCACAGGACCCGGGGTATGTACGTCGACAATGCTGCTTTCGAGTAAGCTTGTGGCCAATTCGTGATGTATCGGCCCTGAATTGTGTGTATGTGCCCAGGTGCAACTGCCACGGCCTGGGCCAAACCGCTCGACGCAGCTTAGGGAGACTCCCATGTCCACTCAACCAACTGGCAGGCTGCAACAGCCTGAGTACCCACATATGAAAAATTGCCAAAATTTGGCCTCTGGTGAATATTCAGGCCCGCCTTCACTTAGGGAGGGCACTTGGCTTGCTGGGGGCCTCTGCCCAGAGTATGTGTATGTGTGATAAGGGCCCTGTGAGGCTCATTCCTTGCATTCCATCCCCTTTAGCTTCGAAAGTCCACTGAGATGCTTCATGCTGGTGCCTTCCCCTTCAATTTTCGTTCATACTCGGCCACGATCTGAGGAGCTGTCTTGACAAGTTCCTCCTTTGTAAACCATCGATCTTCCTTAGGATCAGTATGATGCCTGAACCGTACTCTGTACTCTCTCACAGGTTTAGGTGGTCTACCCCTGCCAGCTGGCTTGGGAACAGGCATGTCTCTGTGCTCCAGGATATCGTCGACGTCCACGTGACCACCCATGGTTGGGGGCAGCATAAATCTCCTCGATGGGAACTGTTATGTCTCAGCGAAAGGTCCAAGCTTTGAGGCATGAAACACAGGGTAAGTGCGTAGGTGACCAGGGATATGAATTACGTACGAGGGCCCATCCAAATCACTACCCACAATATCTAAGACTTCCCAGGGACCGAAATATTGTGGCATTAGTTTGCTAGAGATGCCGAATTCCTGTCCCAACTCACTAGCCTTGACCCAGACACGTTTTCCTACCTGAAATGTGGACTGTCGGTGATGCTTGTTCTCAGAAACAATCATTGCTTCCTGAGCTTTCTTGATGTGTTTGACAGTCTGCTGCAACAACTTCTCATACTGGATACCAAATTCAATGGTTCCAAGAGTTGCAGCAGTTCGATTTTCAGGCAGGAGGAAGTCTCGAGAATATCTAGGCTTCCACCCCAGATGCAGCTGATTAGGACTGACGCCGGTGGTGCTATGTACAACATTATTGTACAGGTTGGTGATGAGAGGTAGTTTCTCATCCCAGTCATCCTGGCTGGGCTTGATATAGTGCCTCAACAGATGCTGCACCACACAGTTTATCTGTTCAGCCTGTCCATTAGCTTCAGGATGATTCCCTTTTCATAGGTGGACTTCGACAATTTCTTGGATGGCATATTTACTCATGTACTCGATCGGCCTTAACTTCTTCCCCTCTTGTTGAGCCAATGCCATACTAGCGTGCGTCAATGGTCACTACAAATGACCTTTGAGGATTGGGGACCATGAGAACCTCATGATGTGGAAGGGCATGCTTCAATCTTTTGAAAGCAGCCTCACATGCGTCTGTCCATTCCCATGGAGTGTCAAGGCGCATTAAATCAGTCAAGGGGGATGCGATCGTACTATAATTTTGTACAGAATTGCGGTAATAACCACACATCCCCAAGAATGATTTGACCTCAGTCACAGATTGGGATCGTGCCCAGTCTCGGATGCTGGCCACCTTAGCATCTTCATGCCTAATCCCGTCGCGGATACCTCATGACCCAAGTACAAGATTTCGGTGCGACCGAACTCGCATTTCTCTAAATTTATCTTATACTTGTGTTGCGGGAGGAGAAAAAGGACTTTGTCTACATGTTGTGCATGCTCCTCGACAGTCCTACTAAAGATAAGAATGTCGTCGAGGTACACAACGATAAACTTATCCAAGTAGTCATGAAAGATCCTATTCACTGCGTGCTGGAATGTACCCGGCGCATTGCAAAAGCCGAAGGGCATCACCACAAACTCGTACAGACCGTACCTGGTCTGAAATGCGGTTTTGTGCCGATCTTCCAGTCTAATG